CTCATGGCTCCTTCACCTCTTCTGCTGTCTTGCCTTGCAGGCCGACTCTCAAGATGGAGCAGAAGACGGTGAAGCATGTAACCATCCCAATGACTGACATTGCCCCCCGTCCGGAGCCATATGTGCCGGAATATTCCCAGCCCTACGAACCCAAGCCCTACGCCCCCCAGACCTACGAACCCAAGCCCTACACCTTCCAGCCCTACGAACCCAAGTCCTACGCCCCCCAGCCCTACGAACCCAAGCCCTACACCTCCCAGCCCTATGAACCCAAGTCCTACACCCCCCAGCCCTACGAACCCAAGCCCTGCACCCCCCAGCCCTACGAATCCCAGCCCTACGCCCCCCAGCCTTATGAATCTCAACCCTATGCCCCGGAGAAATATACACCGGACTCATATTTGCCCCAGTCTTCTTCAGGAGATGCATACAGCATAACAAGTACGTCTCTAAATGGGGAAAATTGGGGGGCAAATGTCTATGCCTGGGTCAATTAGGGTACACCTAGACTGTAGAATGATTGCAATTTCACTCCACTTTTAACTACTGTGACTCAATGCAATGGAATCCTGGGAATTGTAGCTTGTAATCTGCAGACTTCAGCAGTCTCTGCCAAACTGTGCAAACTACAACTTTCAGGATTCCATATTGTTGCACCATGGAGGATAACGCAGTGTCAAAGTGTATTAATTCAACACTGTAATGCACTCTATGTGTATGGATTGTCTTTGCATAGACCCATAAGGCAATGTTTTGAGGGTTTAAAAATGAGCAAGGAAATCACATTTGGATTTGGGCCTTATCTAAAACTTCCAAGGCACCGGTGTTTTTATTCCTTTTCTCTTGTTTTCCTTCCTTGATCCAGATGACTGTTATGGGAATTGTCCGTCTCCCCCTCCATACTCCTGTCAAGACATGCCTTATGACGACGGAGTGGGACCAAGTAAGTGGAAGACATGCATATTAATGAACTCAGAATTTTTCTTTCTTCATCTGTTGATGGGATGCCTTACCTCTTGCAGAGGATATAGCAATTAATGGCCTCATGGTCAAACTTTGCAGCTCCTCATCATTTGTATCTACACTGTCGAATGAATGCAGTTTGGCACCACTTGAACTGCCATGGAGTCCCATAAATTGTAGTTTTACAAGATCTTCAGCCTTCTCTGTCAAAAAGAAGGGTGCATTGGGCAATTTCAAGAAAGAAAAGGATGAAGAATGTGCCACCGACAGCCCCATTGGATGGATTTGGAGTCTAAAAGAACCTCATTTGAAAGGCTGGAGATGGAGATACAAAGCAACCCTTGTCAATATGAATTCACACTCACAGACTCCCAATCGCAGACAGTTGATGCAAAATACATAATTTCTGAGTTTCTTTCCAGGCTTTTGCTTCATTAAAACCAATCCAACCTCAAATACTTTTAATCCCATTCTAGGAGGAAAGTTGGGTATCAATCCAGTAACAGGCCAAATAGTGTTTGGATTACGGGAGAGATGGCTCATGGTAATACATGGTTGTCAAGAATAACAGCAACAGCAACATCACAATAGGAACAACAATTATTTATATCCCACTTTCCTGAGAAAGTCTGAAAACAGATATAATCCATTTCATCTCCAGCTAGCAGGGATTATTGTTAAAGGTAGAAAGGAAAGGTCAATGATTGTGGCAAGTAGGAGCATAATAATACTAATACTACCAGTACAAATACTAATAATATCTTTGCCCCTCTTAAGTCTGGAGCCCCAATGGGACATGAGAGAAGCCACCCACAAGGATGGTAAAACATCAAAACATCCGGGCGTTGTGTGGGCAATGTCTTTGCAGACAGCCAATTCTCTCACACCAGAAGCGACTTGCAGTTTCTCAAGTCGCTCCTGACACACACAAAAAATCCTCTAAGTCCCAGGCTTGCAACTATCAAATATTGTTTCGTGACTGGTATTTGGAGATGAAGGGTCTCTCCAGCTAATGAAATGACTGCTAAAGGCACTCAGCCAATGAACTGCTTCTCATCTGTCTTCAAAGAGTCTGGACTTTACAAAGCCACATTTTGGCTATTCCTTCCAATGTTGCCAATTGATTCCTCAGGGAAAAAAGGGAGTTTGCACTCCATTAAAGGATCAGGTGTTAAAATCTTGTCTTTCTCAGTTGAACAATAATATTTCGATTGCATGGCTTTTAAGGCAGGGAAATTGGGCCTCATTTACTGCCATATAATGCACTGAATGGTACTGTAAATACTGCCATATAATCCAGTTCAACACAGTTCAACTGTATTGTGAAACAGCATGATATGGCAGTGTAGACAGGGCCTTAGTTTCAATGGGTGCCTTGGAGATATAAGGCAAATAGCTGATTTGACAAAAGAGATAATGTGACTTAATATTGCTGAAAAACAATAAATGTATAGATTATAAAAACAACTCTGCAGCAGAGAGAAAAACTTTGCCCTTCCCAAGGGGAAGAAGCAAAAGCAAACTTCTGCAGCACCTCATCCATGCCTTTGAACCTATAGCAAAGGGCAATCCAAGGGATTCCACGGAAGACTGTGGAATTGTGGGATGAATCTCATATGTTTTTATTTCTACAGTTTGCTTGACGAACAACCCTCCGGTCGTGGTGGCTGGGATCTTCTCCAGCAAGCCGGCCTCCACCATTTGTCCCTGCTGCCGCCAGATCATCACCACCGAAGTGACCTTCCGAGTGGGATCCCTGACCTACGCCTTGTGCTCCGCTTTGTGCCTCTTGGGGTGAGAGTTGATTCTGTTTTATGATATTATTATTATATTGTGCCACTACCTAGAAGGACTTTAGATGGGTTTCCATCTGCCAGGATTGGCACAGAATAAAAAATGGATCATGGGAAAAGGCAAATGGACAGGTCCAGAGTTCTAACATTCACTTTTAAAATAACACCTTATCTTTGGACCAGGTCATTTAGCCACAAAAAGGCACACATTAGACTTGAGTAAATACAGTGATATCACTATATTCAAAAATGCTATCAACCCCTCCCTTTTTCTCTTCCCTACAGCTGCTGCTTAGGCTGCTGCTTCGTCCCCTTTCTGACTAAATGCTCCAAAGACGTGGACCACTACTGTCCTTGTTGCCGGTACCACATCTACCGATACAAGCGGCTCTAGGAGAAGCAGTTCTGAAGAGGAGGGGAAGCATCACCCTTTGGGAACAAGCTGCATTCCCTTTTCCCCATCATTCCTTCCCAGCCAAATCAGTAGTCTCTACAGTCCTCACCTTTTGGTTGCCTTGACTGCCAGAAGGCGAGGACAGAGAAATCTGGATCTTTGAGGTCGGGTCTGACTCCAGGTCCAACTCCAGCCATTTGGGGTTTTTACTTCTGATCCTTTTGGTCCTCTTCTACGTCACATCTTGGTTTGATCTGGAATCTTTCTAGAATCTGAATCAATAGAGCCATGGCGGACTTCGGCGCTGGATAGTCACGCTCTGAGGAACAGACTAACAAATTAACACATTGCTCATCTTGTGTTTCCATGCCTCAAAACTTCTTGCAACTCAATTCAAGACAAAAACCAGAGATTGAAATCTATTATTTAGAGAAATAAAATATTCAATTCAGTTTTCCCCCCTTGGTGTTAAATGGAGATGTTGACCCTGAAGTACTTTAGGACCTTCAACTGTTGATGTAAGATATTCCAAAGTAATGTCCCTTTTCCCAAAAGAAAGTGTCTTTTCGTGTGAAATACAAGAGAAACATATGCTGCAAATATATTTATATAAAGCACCAAACGTGTTTGAGATATAACTTTTCCATCAAATGTTGTAAATCAGATAACATTATTTGGACATTTCCCAGTTTTTCCCTCCAATAAAATCCAAATTGCGGTTGGAAATGTCATCTGGTTCTGTCTAGGAGTAAAAAAGAAGTTGACCCTGCAACACAGAAAGCAAGCCTTGGCCCTTAAGGACTTCTTACTGTAAAACTCCCAGAATTCCCTTTTTTGTTCTGAAAAAGGATTGAAGCTATGATGTATTTCTACCTAAAACTAGTTAAAGGGACATACTTTCAAATTTAAACACCTACCAGTTGCAGAGGTTGGTCTTATAGGACCTGTTTCAAGTTCAATATATAACTCCTATTCTTGTCTAATGATACATAAACAAGGAGAGGTGGATAAATTATTATTATTATCATCATCATCATCATATACAAATACAGCAACCTCTATAGCAGTGGTTCCCAACCTATGGTCCATGGACCACCAATGGTCCACAAGAACTAAAATATGGTCCGCGGTTTCACGGTTACTACACTGTTGCAACCAAGAGCAATTGGTCTTGCAAAATCCTCTTATAACAAAATCCATGAATAATAACACAGCCCAAACAAAAAACCTTTTTTTCTTGGTATCTTTGTTTTTAGGCCTGCTCCTGGGGTTACCTGGGGAGCTGATTCAGAAAATTGCATTGGCTAGTCTTTGAAGTGACAGGAATGACCTTGAAGGAGCTGGGGGTGGTGACAACCGACAGGGAACTCTGGCGTGGGCTGGTCCATGAAGTCATAAAGAGTCAGAAACGACTGAATGAACGAACAACAACAAGTCCACATCAGCTCTAGATTATTAAATATGTTTTCTATGGGCAAGCAGATGGCCACTACTGGATGGCATATGTTTTTTATCGAAAACTAGAGCTGATATGGTCTATCCAATGCAATTTTCTGAATCAGCACCTCAAATAACGAAACCAAATCTAAAGTTGACCAAAAACTGATTCGGAACCCTTTTGGTACTAATGTTGGAGAGTGATCCCTGATCAAAGTGGTTCCTGGTCAAAAAAAGCTTAGGAACCACTACACGATAGTTTCAGATAAAAATAGCAGATGACTTTTACCCATTGTCCTTTAAGTCAAACCCACATTTCACAACTGGATAGCGGCCAGGTGAAAAGTCCTATCTTCAGAAACCTTGCAAGGAGAAGGGTCTTCTTCAATGTCCAGGCTATCAACTCACCGAAGTACAATTTTATAGAAAATTTTTATTCAACATACAACATTTCTTTTTTTTTTCCAGCAAAAAAGGCAATATACAGGAAGAATCATTGCACAGGGAGCTACAGAAACAAAAACAAAAAAAATTAAGTACTGAGGGGAAGAAGATAAAGAATGTGAAAATTTTAAAAAAGGAAAAGAAAGGGGAGTGTAAACTGCAGGTTCTATAGCTTTACTGCACTCCAAAAGGGGGAAAGAAAACCTGATATAGACACAAACGGGCTGCCATTAGCTCCAAACTAAAATGGGGGGAGGGGGGAGAGCCGCCGGGGGAACCGAAATAAAAACTACACACAATGAATAGGAATATTGACATCTGTGAAATCCGCTTGCAGGCAGCAGCACCCCCTCAACACCCCCCGGCCCCCCAAACGCCACCTCTGAGCATCCAATTGTACACATCCTCCCTTAAATATACATTTTCTGTGCCCTCCCAAGCCCCTCGCTCTCATTATTTTATACAAAGTCAACATCTTACTAAAACACTAGTGAACATCATGCCTTTAGTGCTAAAAAGGCCTGTGTCGCTTCTCCCATTCCCAGATTCGCTAATTTCCACTACGAAGCAAATCTTCAGAGGCGTCGGGTTCATCTTTATCCTCAGGGGCTATTAATGCATAAACCCAAAGGCTTTTTATACATAACACCTCAAGGGCTTTCCATGCACAACCCCAAGGATTTTTAAATACAAAACCTCAAGGGTTTTCAATGCATGACCTCAAGGGTTTTTGAATGTTTAGCCATCTCTAAAAGGGAATTCAAAAGACCCCGGATCTTCCTCCTTCCCTCTTTGAGGATTCTGACTTATTTCCTCAGGAAAAAAGTGAGGTGTGGGGAGGGAAAAAGAAAGCCCAATGGTGACTCCAACTCCATTTATTTTAAAATTAATAATAATGATATTTTTTTAAAGGAGATAATCCACCCAAAACGCAACAAAACGTGTCCGAATAAGTGCCAACAGTGTACACCATGAAGTAGAGATTGCTATTTATTGATGATGTTGAGTTTTGTCTTTTCTCTCTCTCTGTTTGCATTTACAAAGGCGTCCAAAAAAAAAAATCAAAGGATATAACAGGAGGAAACAAAACAGGAAGGGAATGTGAGCCTAACCATAGTCATACTGCAGTTGATGGCAGGGGGAAAGGGAACTGTGGGGGAAAGGGAAGGCCAGCCCATTCAACGCATTACGGGCCGAGTCCACCGTCGATAACATTGCCTCGCCTCTCCTCCCCTTTGTGACGCCTCCTTTCGATCCCCCATTAAAAACTCTCGTTGGCACCCAAAGCTTGATCGTTTTGTTTTATAAAACACCTTCATTTTTTTGCTCAAAAAACAAAACAGAAAAAAGAGGGCAGTCAATAAAAGGTACAGAGAAGCCAAAGGGAGTAGCCTCCAAATAAAATTAATCCCACCGGCAGCAAAGCTCCTCTCGCCGGAGACGCCGGGTCGTGTGCACGTGTGCCGGAAAAGTCCTACGGTCGGTTGTTAAAAAGGTGCGCACACACACACGCCACACACACGCCACACACACACACACTTATGGTTGCCTCCCTCCCTCTTTTTTTTCCTTGTCTCGAACAAACTTGGGAGAGGGGTAAGTCAGTTATGGATTTTAATAGCTTTTTCAAGGTACGTGTAGCGACTTCTCTTTGGGGCTTTGTTGAAATGGTCAAGTCCTAGCCATGGCCTTGGGTGAGACATGTTGCCTAGAAAGAAAGAAAGAAAGAAAGAAAGAGAGAGAGAAGGAGAAAAAGAAAGAATGAATACACAACTAAGATGTGGAGAAACAAATGCAAAAGGGGAGAATACAGCTGCCTGTCTGCCTGAAGTGTCTGCAGCTGACAAGCTTGACCTCTGCCTTGGGATGCTGGGAACTGGAGTCCAATGACAACCTAAGAATAGCTCCATAATCTTGTCTCTTTAAACTTTTTGCAATCCCTTTTGCACTAGAGAATTATTTGTTCATAACCCCAGACATAAAGGTATATTAAAAAGTTATAAAAGAAATAAACATTTGCTGATATAAACAAGCATCCACAAGTCATGATAAAAAGGTACTGTTCCATTTTCTCCCTTTTTATGGAGTACAGTTCAAGCATCTTCTGCAGAGTCAGCTGTAAACCCTACACAAGAGGTTCATGTAATCCCTAAAGTGGTCACTGGGTGGCAATTAGAAACCTTTTTCCTGTTTTAATTTTCTTTTTGGTGGAAGGGGACCCCCATTTTGGGGTCAGGGCTTTGAGTCACTTCCTGTTGTGGGAGGAGTGAATGTAGCCCCTTCCCTTGGTTTCTGTCATTCTTGAACCAGAACCCATCTTCCAAAGCAGGAAAGCGAACCATGTGGCCCCTTGGGACCTCCCTTCACCAAAACAGCAATTCCGCCCCCTCCTCTGTGTCCAAATTAAAATAAAACGCCTTGAAATGATGTGACCTTGCCTATGGTTGCCCAAAATGGGAACTATGAGGATGCAGAGCAATCCTATGGAGATGCAGCGACACCAAAATAGGCTTCATTTGACTGACCTAAACCCTAAATAGCATTATAACATGGCTGTCCCACTGAGATCGAAAGGGGAAAAAACCAAAGCCAATGGACGATACTCACCGGGTTGGGGTTCGAAATCTTTCAAGTTCACTTCATATTCGTCTTCGTTTAGATATTGGTGCCGACCCATCATTACAATGGCAAATTTAAACTTTGGGGAGAAGAAATTGAGATATATGCATTTTAAAAAATAACCCAGAGTTCAAGTACACATTTATCAAGGAATAT